CCCCCCCCCCTGACTTTAAAGCTGGATCCGCCCCTGCCCCTTTTGCGCGCATTTCAAATAGCTCACATGTCTTGGAACATTGAGGAAACTCAAAAAAGGTTCATAATAAGATAGTCTATTCAAAAACCTGCATGTTCCAATTTTTTACCCATGAATAGACAGGATTTTTATACAGCACTAAATTTCTAGAATAAATGGCGGATGCGCCCAAATACCTGTAATCCTGCTGAGATTTCCTAAATCGGCTCCGGCAAATCCAGCAATGTGCGCCCCAAGGCTGAAGCCAATCAAGTGGGTGTTCATCAGAGAAAGTCCATTTTTCTCAACCAATCCGCTCAGCAGTAAAGAGAGCTGCTTACCAACCAATCGGGTGTTTGCTGACGCTTTGACGTAGTTGGGCAAAGCGGCCCCGTTCGACCAATCAACGCATATTGTATTCACTTCTTCCTATCGAATGATCACGGTTTTTCTCCGGCTGACTCAGGAATGGTGATTTAGTACTTACAACAGCGATCAGAGCACTTCGTACTTCATACGCCCAAATATAGCCGCAGTCGCTTCCAAAGCCGTGTATGAGCACTTTGGTCGGTAGGCTCTTGTTGAAGCCGCCTTTTGCCCATTCGAAAGCTTCGTCCAACTTTTCGAATGGAATTTCCGTAGGCGCTGAACTGCTGCGTCGTTGCCTGTTCCTGCAACGAAAAACTGCAATTTCTCCCGAATCTAACAACTTTCTCTTGACTCACTAAGTTTTATGGGCGCTCGGCAAAATTGTTGCTTGATAAAAATTCACTCACCTGGCTGGATACAAAAGAAACCGTGTGTTAATGTCCTCGGGTTTGCTAGGTAACATATCCAGGTATCCAAAAGGGCCGGAGGCATCGAAACAGCCAAGTCCCTCGTAACATACTGAAGGTTCTTCCCGTTTGGTTCTACCGGTAAGAGAGTTATTTTACTCTTCATAGATTAGACATTCTCTTAAATCTGGCAAAGTATACCTGTTGGCACTTTTCTTCGCCTGCCATTCTCTCATTGATTTAACGACTGCATTATAAACAACGATGTCGTTAAAATCCTGCGAGTCGTCCGAGTGGTCAATCCGTGGTACTGCACTAACTGAAAGTACATTTCAGTAAATTAAAAGGAAAGTTTCCTGCATGTTCAATTAAAAATGCAAATGAATATCGTTTGCATATTTTAGCATAAGATCTAATCGCAAAAAAGCGGCCTCCTGATACTTACTTAAGCAAAAATAGCCCGCTATCCAAATATACTTGATACACATGCCAAACAGCATTGTACTTTCGTAATCATTTATTGAGCCTTCATATAATTTCACATTATGCCTAGAAGGAAAAAGAAATGGTAGCTCGATGGTTTTCGGTCAAGTTTTGATCGGTTGCGTTCATCGCACGTTGAGACATCGGCGTTCCTAAAACACATGACAATGTCTTGGACTTTTTCGCATGTGCATTCATTAGATCGTTGCATGGTTAATGAATTTTTTTGCCCCCATAATAGCCATTGCCAATGGGTTGATTACCATTAAGGTAACAAGCAATTAATCGGCAAAAGAACGAAATGCAAACAATTCCGTTAAAAATGCATATTTGCAAGGTTAGCGACAAGTGAATGTATAGCGAATAGTTCGGTTTCATGACCCTGATGAAGTACAGAGTAGATTTTCTTTCACAATTGCTGAATATCTATAACTTGCTGAGATAAAGAAGCTTTTTCATGGGGAGCTAATGTTTTAAGCGCATGTCGTTTAACACGAGGGATTTTTGCGATATTTAAGATATTTGCCCACTGTTGTGTGTACGGACGAGTTTACTAAAATGTGCCTTGAGGAATTGTAGAAATCGCCTCAAAAAGGCGAGATTAAGATCACAGCTTGGAAAAGGCTGCCGGGACAAAAGCGCATCTCAAGTAACCCGCTGATTTCTTGAGATATTTTGGAGAAAATTGATCGTTTGTATTGAAGACTTCTATAAAACGTGCTTAGAGAATTTTTTGAAAATGCCTCAAAATGCCGGTTTTTTTAATTAAAGTCGCAGCTTAGAGAAAGCACTAGCGGCAAAAGCGCATCTCAAATAACTCGCTTGTTTCTTGAGTTATTTAGGAAATTAAAAATGCACTTTTGTATAGAAAGGTTCTTAAAAATGTTCTTTGAAAATTTTTAGAAAATGCCTCAAAATGCCGGATTTTTTAACTCTAGTCTCTAGCTACTTAAGAGCGCCTCAAATATTTTGCGTGTATTTTGAAATATTTCGGAGAGTAAAAATATTTTATGCATAAGAGAGTTCATTTTCAAAATATTCCCAAAAAATCGATTTTTTTAATAAAACCTCCATACATCCCAGAATTAAGCGCATCTCTTATGTCTCGCTTATTTTTTAAGATCATCGTAAGAATAAAAACGCTTTTATGACAAAAAATCTAATTGTTCCTTGACGAATTTTTAAAATCGTCCTGAAAACCCGGGGATTTTTGAATGAAACAACAGCCTACAAGTTGCTCTAAATATTTCTTCTTTTTTTTATTTTTTTAAAAAATAGCTGAAGAACTAGGATTCGAGTAAATCCTAACAAAAAGCGGCGCGTACTTAAGTATATTTTGAAATATATATATTTCTATATATATAAAATTCTCGTGTCACAGTTTTAGTTACCATACTCCTCCGAAACGGCTTGACCAATTTTGATGAAATTTTGTATGTATATTCAGTAGGTCTGAGAATAGGTTGTTATCTATTTTTTATACCCCTAAGTGATATGGGTGCTGCCATAAACCCCTATCTTTTAATAGCTATATTAGTAATTCAATAAATTTAAAAAAATCTCAAGGGGGCAAACCGCGAGATGAAAAAAAATCCTAGGAATAATTTATATGGCAATACAACGTTTGCCGGGTCAGCTAGTATATATATATAAATTGAAATGCGATTTTGTGGACAAAAGAGTTCTCCACCATTTACGTTTGGAAAATGTTGAAATCTCCTCAAAAACTCGGAATTTTCGAATAAAACCTGATCTAACGATTGACAGCACAGAATTAAGCGCATCTCATATAACTCACTTCTTTGTTCATATTTGCAGGAAATAGAAGAACGCTTTTGTATTGAAAGGAGTTTTTTAATTTTCTTTGCGGAATTTTTTAAATAGCATTGAATACCAGGATTTTTTAAATAAAATTACAGACTATAAAAGGGTCTAGACACTTAAGCGCATCTCATGTAATTCGTAAGTTTATTGAAATATTTCGTAAATTGAAATTTTTTAAATCAAAACTGTAATGTTTAGATTAAAATCTTATTTAACAAATTGTATAAAATAATCCTCTCTCTCAAATGTTTCTTGATACATTTACAAAATTGCCGCAAAAATCTGAACTCTTCAAAAATTCTGTGTTTTTAGGGCAATTTTCCTGAAAATCTCAAAAAAGGCTTTTTAAAAATATCTGAAGCGTTAAATAAAATCGCAGCTATTAAAAACCATCATCATCACCCAGAAAAGCAAATTGTTTATTCAATAAAATGCGCTAAGCTCAAAAGCTTTAGCTCGCAAGCAAACCAGTCAAGATGTACTTTCGTAAAATCTTCTTTTAGCAGGATTTTTCAAAATTTTCGAAATTGCGAACCCAATTGCAAATTAAATCCTTGTTGTTTTTTCATGTATTTTAAACGGAACTAATCGCTTATAAACTTACCCACCCTATACATCCATCCATAGCACCGATATAAACAATAATCAATTAATTAATAAAAGCAACAGCAATCCATTTTAATTGTTACCGGTTTTGTAACGCACGCTATTTGGCATTCCCTAGCGTAATTGCAATATCTATATTGATGACTTTTTAACTTTCACTAGATTTGTGCGATTCATAATTTCGATGTGATACGAAACGAGTAAAAAGATTGAAAAACCGAATTTTATTGGATTGTGAATGTAAATGAAACCAAAGTCTGGAATAAAAACCATCACAGTGGGCGGCCGCTTTTTACATTGAATTATTTAACCAAGTTCAGCGCCATTAAAGTTATTATTATTATTATTATTGTTAGCCAACACTGAATTACATCCTGATTGTCCTCAAATGGCCAGTCGCTTAAATGTTGTTTTATTTCGATCCAATAAGGCCAACGTATCAAAGTTATTCGCAAAGTCATTCTACGTATCAGTTACATAAAATAGTCGGTTTATCGGTGAAGAAGTAATTTTCGACTTAAAAAAAGACAAAGAGTTTGGTGTTAAGTGGGCCAGAGGAAGTGTGAATGCTTGAACACAACTAAATACATATATATTTCCGTTCATCAACAGTAATAACTTGGAGAAAAAAAGGAAACATGCACGTATAAAATTGAGCAATTAAGCCAGCATGTGAAATGGGCGTTTGTAGATTCGCACAATATTTGAATAAATTTACAAGTGATTATTCGGTAAGCATGGAAGTTCACTTAATGGTCTTCTCATGAACTGTTATGTGGATCGTTACAACATAACGGTTACTTTCAAAATTGGGCAAATCGTCGACGATTTGAATTTAGGTAGTTGGTAGCTGGCGACAAATGAGCACAATTGTTATGTAAAATCATTATAAATGTGTCGTTAGCAATAATAAGGAAGAAAGATGAGCGAAACGAAGAAGAGTTACGTTTCCTTTTGAGCAAGGAAAGGAAAGGAAGCTTATATTACACTTTTGAATAGGAGTAACGTCAAGTCAAAGAGTTTTCAGATCATCATTGACAAAGCGCGCACAAATCTAGATTTGGCGCGATTTAAATAATCTATTGAGGATTTTTAGACTCGAGTGTCTTCTATATAATGTCAATAGTTCAAGTTCTACTGGCTCTAGATTCTAAGTTGCAAATTTTTATTTGAGAAAGCGCAGTTTCGTGAAA